TCCTTTCCTTTTTATCTATAGACAGAGAATTTACCTCCTAACCGCTTGGGCCATGTCTCCGATATGTCAGGGACAGTTACACACTACTCCTTGATTTAGTTTAATTCCCATTATCTGCTCGTAGTATTTTCTCAATCATGCTAGGAGGTCGATAGATTTACCTGCTCGACCATTATGCCACGCGTCCCAACCGGGTTAATATGTTGACCTAGGAACCGTGAATATAATATCCTACATCAGATTGTAGCTTGCTTGCGACATAAGGATCTGTCCAACCTACTCAGCCTCCAACCTCAAAATCATATGCATCACCCTTTCGGGCCAATAGCAAGTCACTTATTAGTCAGTCAGTCTTGGATTAGTTGTTTCTTCAGCCATTGTGAAAAACAATTAATTGGCCGGCCTAGTGTTGATCTAATAATAGTTTCAAGTACTTGGATTTGCCAAGGCAAGGCCATTGAGAGTCGATGCAATAATCTTATCTTGGATTATTTGTAGTTGAGGTGGCCATCCATCGACTTTAAAAGCTGTGGGCAAAAATTCCTAACTACTTTTATTATTAGCTTAGTGATTTACATATTTGCAGAAGAAGATACCACACAATTACTTGAATATGCAAAATAAGTTTCCGAATAGTATATTACGTAGATAAAAGATACAGTGTATTAGATTAATTAACCGACTCCATTGATAGCTCAAATTTAGAGGTCGGTTATAAATAAAAACCAACTAGGTTTCAGAAGTACTACTTTTAACCACCCCATCTGCATCAGTTACATATTTTTGAAGAATGTAAAGAACAACAACTTCAGCAACAATATATGAGAGGATTATGCAACTGCAAGAAGAAAAGAAGAAAAAAGAAGAAAGAAAATCAGAAATGCAGCTTGAAATCAACATTATCACCGAACAAGGCAAGCAAGCTTAGTTTGAATTTTTTCTAAAACAATCTGCTGCTTTTACTGAGATTGTTGAGAATCGAGGGGTTGTTAAAGAGTAAACAAAAATGTATAAGATGCCATAAGGGGTCATTTTCTCATGATAAGATGCAAATTCCATCAACTGCAAAAAGTTACTTAGCCAACAAAAATATATATAAGTAGAGCACAAACTATATATATATATCAACCTATGTTTAAGAGTGCGAGTTTTCGATAACCATGATATAAATTACAAAATTTCATCATAAAACTATTCTATGATTTATTGAATATTTTACATCACAAATGGTTGGGATACTATATATTTTTATGTGCACTATCTACAACAAAAAAGTTGCCAAAACTATAAGGGGCAAACAATAGATTTGGAATGCTTCGGCCAATCTTCTAACAAACATAACAAGAAACTGACTTCAAAATTGGGTTCTTAATTGGTTTAGTAACTTCTGCACATTTTCTAGTTTCTCATTTAGCTGTCTGACGTTATCAAGGCATTCGGGAGTAGAGGTATCCGAGCGACTCAATTCAAGGGCCAGTGCAGCACATTTTGTCTGTGAATCGAGAATTGCCTCTTCAATAGAAGCCACCGTTGACTCAGTGACATCAGCACTTGGATCGGCCGCCAAAGGGGATGGACTGCTCCCCCTGCTTAGCTTATCGGGTGTAAAAATCTTGTCAAAACTTTCACTTCCTGCAGGTTTTACGATTAGAAAGTCAGCTATAAATACATGCGTTAAAAGAGTCTGACATGCCAATACCAAAAGACTGAAAAAATATAATGCCAGTTTTGGTCTCTGTTTACAATAACATGAATTTTGACCACAATTACAGTCGTTTTTTTGTCATAAAACAATGTATTTTTTGTATTTACAAAATGTGATGTTTTCGTAAATTTCCTGGAGAGAGAGAGGGAGTGTTTTAAGAGAGATTCCCAAAAGCCATGAGGTTTTGACCACAATTACAGTCGTTTTTGGTCATAAAACACAATGTAATTTTTGTATTTACAAAATGTAAAGTTTTTGTAAATTTCCTGGAGAGAGGGAGGGGGAGAGTTTTAAGAGAGATGCCCAAGAGCCATGAGGTTCGGTCAAGTTACAAAAGAACACAGCCGCCTTTCATAATTTTGAAACATTTATGTTTTGTATTACCATAACAAATAGTCCCTTCTTGCGGATGAAATTCAGGAAGACTAAATAAGTATAAAAGGAGATAACTATCGTTAGGGAGTATTACTGAAGCTTCAAGAGGATAGTCCTTTTAAGATCTCTAAAATTGGATTAGCCACAAACACGTACAAGTTATAACAGAAAATTACCTAAGTTACTTAGTTGACTGATGGCTGCTGTGCCAACAGATCCTTCTAATTTGAGAATTCGCAAAACCCCAGCAGTAATTCTACCCACAGAGTCGACCTCCGACTTACACAGCATAGCTAGATGTTGCAGCTCATCCTTCTTCACTACAGCCTCGATCTATGTAGTACATAAGTTTGACAAGTGAATCAGATATCACAAAGAAGGTAAATAAATAAACATATAATAAAAAAAATTGAGGCCTATAATGAAACTCTCTTTTACCGGCTCATCCACTGAGAACTTCAAATTTTCCACCGCCAACTTCACTGTTGCACCATCATCTTCTTCTTCAGAAGTCACAATATCAACTTCTACATTGACCCCACCATGTCTCTCAACAATTTGCTTTCCACCTCTGGGCAAACCATTCTGCAGGATCCCTTCATTAGTCCCGTTTGACAATAATTCCTGATGAGGCCTGGGCTTTAATATCTGCAAACCTTCCATGCCAACCTGAAAGAATTTGACATAATCACAAAATAGGAAAGCCGTTGAAAATTTTGTTGAGGCGGTTTAATAGGTAATTGCTGCTGTAAAAGCAATACTTCAGTTTCATCAAATCAAGCAGCTAATAAGTTTTTGCTAAATAGGTGTTGGTTGATAATGGAAACGAAGATATGCAGAAAACTATCAAGTGAACAAATAAAAATAAAATCAAGCATCAGCACACTAATTCTGAAGAAGGAAACCTCAAAATCTCGTGGTAAAAATCATTCTCGAGCATTTTCATAGGCAAGATGGATCTACTCATTAAATCAACAAACAAAGACATAAATAAATAAATAAATAAATAAATAAATAATAATAATAATAATAATAATAATAATAATAATAACAATAATAATAACAATCATTTATTATTAATATTATTATTATTATTGTTGAAAAATGGAAATGTTTATATAAATAATTCTAATAAAATAACAGAAGCACGTCCTCACAGTAATCAACTCAACAGGATATTTCTGCTTTCCGCTTGGTTTTATGATGACAGCCACATACTTGGGGCTGCTTTTCGCTTTGATATGCACACTCCTAAACGTAGTATGCCAGCTCCTCTCTTCTCTTTGATAATCTTCAGAGAATCTATCTTCCATCTCTTGTACGCCTTCAAGTGCAAATAACCAATCTTTCAATTCAACTGATACATCCACATCATCAGGTGCACCCAAATGCAATAGCTCTTTCTCCTTTCCATGTTCCATATTCCCATCTAAGTGGAGACACGGAGAAAGGTAACCGAATAAGTAGTGTCAATTTGCGAGAAATATGAATGAGAAAAATATGATAGTAGCTAAAATAGTTGCTAGATCATACTCTCTTTAAGTCCATCCATAACAAGCGGTGATGCTTTGAAGAGCTTTGACAAAGGTCCACCAGATAAACGCTCTAATCCTCTGGTGAGACCCTCCCCTGGCCCACCATCAGGCCCAAGAATCCCAAACCTATGAAGCAAGGATTCTGCATAATTCATTCCACCACCAAGCCGGATACCAGCAATACAGGCTGATATGTTTAAACTGTGGCATTCAATATCCTGCGCGCTATATGGGATGACGTGGACCATGGAAATATCAAGAAACGGCACGGTAGTAGGGCGGTTTGACTGATAAATTCTACTATTTTGAACCCAAAAAACAGCTCGTAACTGACCACATTCTTTACCGGGAAGTCTATTTTTGGGAATTGTTGAGTGTGACCCCTCCAAATTTCGGATGTTGTTCACGGTGTCTGTGCATTCCACCTCGACTCTCTCCCAACGTATATTGGATGAAATTGCCATTGCACCACCAAAAGTTCTATGTCCCACTTTGATAAATAGGTCATTGCCCATAAAACAGACTAAGGGAACTCCCTGACGGTTGGAAGAAGAATCTAGAAACCTTAGCTGCAAATCCTTCACTGCTAAAGTTACAGCAGTATCAGCAGGAACTTTGTCCATAATGTTTCCACTAAAAGGCTCATTTCTATCTCCCTTCAAGGTTTTGTTTTTCCCTACTAAAGCTATCCTCTCACTAACTGCACCAAAATATGCATATAGATCCAGAACAAAGAATAATTGCTCAACTGATGTGTTGGATATATATTGCTGACAAGAAAGTCCGACCCGGACAACCCCACCTGGAGGTGGGATATTCATTAGAGGACTACCGTCTGCAGTAACCATTGCCACTTCAAAACACATCCCTTTCATCTCTACGCATCTCCATAGACCTGAATCCACTTGAGACCCCAACTGTGTCTGCAGAGACAGACTAATCAAAGAAGCTTCCGCAGTTAGTTTCTTCTGGCTGGCATCAACCGGTTGGTTTTCCCAGAGACAAAAGCACACAGGGTCCTTATCAAGGTTGAGTAAACCTAATTTCAGAGAGGGTTCCTCGCAAAACATGAAATCTTCAATATGGAGCCTTGCCCCAGAAAAGATATCTTGGAGTGCTGTACTACTACTTTGGGACAGCTGTGTGGGATTCTCCATCTGAACTGGGATGGCAACATCTAACCCTTTAAGGTTTAAGAGAAAGGAATTTATCGAGAAGTCTGGCAGTACACAACTGGGATTAACTACAATTCCATCAGCCAAAAATGATGATATCCTGAAACAGGATTCTTCCTGAAGATGAATCTGAGATGATGAACGGGCAAAGAATCAGTAGTGACCAGAGCACTGGTCATCGGTGTCACAAATTTGCACCCCAAAGAAAGAAAGAGAAAGATACAATGAGTACTGACCATAAGTGGCTGACAGTCAACAACAGTCCTGGAAGCAAAAGTTGGTGGATTTGGGGAGGGTCGAAACTGGAGACAGTGAAGAGAGATCAGAGGCACACTACAGTTTAATTTCCAATGTTGGTCCCCTAGGGGATATATAGGAGAAAGAAAGTTCTCAGCTGCACAGAAAGAAAAATCACGTAATTAGCAAAATGTGAAAATGCTCAGTAAGATTAAGTGAACATGTCAGATCCTTAACAAGATTGAAGAAAGTAAATAGTACCAAACTCCGGGATATGTATTATATCGTCAGAAGCATCCTGCATTAAAGGTTGTATTAAGGTGCATGGAGGACGTGAAAATGGATCCCTGCATTCCGGCCCACGTATATATGATCCAGTTTCTTTCAATAGGTAGCAGAAACATACAGAAAGAAAAAGAATCCTAAAACTAACTAGATATAAGCACTACAAGAAAATAAAGGTAAATTAAGAAGACTAACAAAACATACATAAATGTTTAAAAGTTACTGCAGCTTCAGCTGCTACCAAACTGATAAACGTAAGTTCCTGATTGGAGGTGAGGACCATATCATTAAGATATCAATAACCCTCATGTGGACGATAATTAAAAAGAGGTTCGTATACTCATATTTATGACATTCCTTTTTCCCTTCTGTTTCTAATCCAGAGCATAAAACTATGCTTGGACAGAAAAATGGTCTCCAATCAATTACATCAAGAATATATCAAGCATAAAAAACTGCAGCCAACATACAGATTAGATCTTACCTCAAAAACAACCCCCCTATAGTAACCCGAGTCAAGTACTTGGCATTTTCTCCATCAGATACACTTGCCTGGATGAAGAAAACAATTGTTGGTACCTTTTAATGCATGGTATAAATGAATGCTTGACTAGGACTAAGAGGTGATAAATTCATTGAAATTATTATATTCTCAGTCAATCATAGACAAACCCGAGAGAAGAATAGTGATTGCATCAAAAGCTCTAGCTGGAATTCTGCATATCACACAGACTTGTTAGACTACAGCCAGTAAATACGCCTGAGAAAAAGGATTGCATCTTCCATAGTACAAGTATTGGATTGCAAAATAAAACTGAAGAGAAAAATAATACAGGTGTGTGAGGACTGAAAACTAACCAGCATCCTTTATGCACAGAAATATGTGATCCACAATTATAGAGACTAATGAACGACCAGCTGCTTCTGCAGAACGCTGCCAAGAGAGATGTAACATAGTGAATAGTTGTTTGGTGTCCCCTGGTATAAAGGAATCCTCAAGTTTTATCTGTAAAATATGGAGGAGGTACTTTGAAAGAAATAATACATGCTGCGCACTTGGATGCACGTCTCCCCTATTTAAACAAACATACAATCCCGTAAAGAAGCGGAGAAGAGCTCGTAATCCTGTTCAAATGGAGGTGCTACTGTTAAACTGTCGTACTAAACACCGAAAGAAGTAATCAAAATTAAATTGTTGACACTTGCCTGGTTCACTTAAGGCAGGGCAAACAGCTTCTGTTATATGTAATTGAAATTCCAGCCCTAGAGGACTGTTTAGAGCAGTCCTCTGAATTGTAATCTGAACATAGTCAACGAGTTTTGGCAGATGGTTAATTCTACCCTCACTAGCATCGACGTGAATTCACAGCATGCAGACATTCAAATAGCACGGGGAGACACACACACACAACACACACGCAGAGACAAATAAAGAGAGACAAAGAGGGATTGTTTGGATAAGAAAATAACTGTCTTGTCCAATATATGGTAAATTTTCAAATAAACGAAAAGGCAAACACCCATACATAGGCGTCTCCTGAGATCCCCTCAATGAACCGCTCCCCTCCAAAGAAAGCTCGTTTTGCACCATCTTCATCTTTTATATTACCCTCTTTCTCAAACTTGGAAAAGTTTGCATCCGAGAACATATCTGGATGAGGCAGGAGGTCAATAGACAAATGTTCCCACTCAAGTTTCTGAGAATAATGAAACAGAGAATAGGTTATAATTCATGAATTGAGGAGCGGAACAACGTTTAGAAAAATCAAGCACACAGACCTTTTACCTTACATGTCAGTAGAGTGAAGATATGTAATAACAAATAAACAAAATCAGTAAACAAAACAAGGATTAGTTAACTTGATAAATTTGAAGACATATATGAAGTTCTTGTCACTTGAAAAATCCATGGCTACAGACGTTTTTCCTTACTTCTCAGTAAAGTGAAGAAATGCAATAACAAATTAACAGAATCAGTAAACATAAAATAGATTAGTGAACTTGTTTACTTTGAAGACATAGATGAAATTCTTGTCACTTGAAAAATCCCTGGCTTCCTTAAGATTCACAACCTGTTAACAGCAGTGACAATTCTCATAAGAATTTGTTCAGCCACAAACAAATCTGAAGTGAAAAATATACAACTATATTTATAAGCGGAACAGATCACAACCTCCCAGCTTTCATTTGTTGTATAGAGCAGAAGGTTGCGAATAGTGATGGAAGCCATAGGTGATGCCCTGTTGGGTAGGAGGTTAATAGTACTCATAGAAGAAAATAAATAAACAAAATTTACTGATAAAATATTAAAATGAAGGATTTAATTCCCTTATCACTATCACAATACTTTGTCATTTATTCACCAATATTTAGGGGCAGCCAGGTTTTGGATTCTCATATGGTTCTCCCAATACTGAGTTAACAAATATCTTATGAAACATTTAATCTGGCTCTTGAGTTGTATATGGACCATAAACATATCAAAATGATAGACTATGTATCAACTCTTCAGAAAAATATGTGACACAAGATCAGTCAATCTCATGTTGCCTAGAAAGTTCATAAATTGGGAAGGCCGCAAGAATTTACCAACTTGATTCTCCTCTTTGTCGAGCTCCGCCATGAGTTTCAAGTAAAAGATTCACAGTCTGGACTTGTAATGTCATTCCATCTGCAATCTGATGATAGATACAGATAAAATCATGGGCGTCTAATGTCTATATTATTATACAGCTCATAGTTGTCGAATTTTTAGAATTAGCTGTGAATAAAAGAAGAGAAAATTAATTGTCCAAAATACAGTAACACCAAATGATTTGCATCATACAATAAGTAGCAGAAATTAACCTTGTCTGCAAATCCATACCCGCTACCCTTGCCCGTACTTATTGAGGATGGAGTACTGCAGAGAAGAAATATAACAGAATTCAAGTTTCATAGCTTTCCAAATCTAATGATGAACCAAAACTGACCTGCTTGAGTTGTTAGATGCATCTACATCATCATTTTCCTCCAACACTAGGTCAAGCCTATCGATTTGCACCACAATTGGATCTACTTGTACATTGCTCACCGAGGGAAGCTTAAAAAATTGGATTTAACACCTTAGTAACCCCAAGGTAGAACTAGAGTCGAACTCGAAATAAAAACAATCAAATCCTTCATTTTTTTTCATTTTTTTTTTCTGGGAAATTGAATTGGATAAACAGTATAAGTTAACTCACAATAATCTCCAATTTGCCAACTTTGGCTGTGGTCACATTCAGCGCCGGCGGTAATCCCACACTAGCATGCAACGCATCTCCGTTTATATCTACCAAAAATATTTCCCCAATTATTTATCCGAAATTCCCCACATTTAGCTCCACAAAAACACTCGTACAAACATATCTCGCATGAAATTGAAAGAAATATCAACAATCAACCTAAATTAGACAGCTGTGCGGTGCGCCCCTGCAATTTGAACTGATCTCTGCTGAACGATTTCAGCCAATACTTGAGCGTGTATTCCAGAGCTCGGGCCAAGATGGACTCCATCTCCGTTTCGAACCTTATTGATCAGCTGAGAAAAGACTAACTCCGCCGATGCCGGAAAGCGTTGCCGGGAAACTCAAAAAATCGGCGGATCGGAGGATGGGTTCGACAGGAGGAGAGAAAGGGGGAGGTCAGGTAATAGACATTCGGAGAGAGAGAGACGGAGGATGCTTTGGTGTCACGTGCGAGCTGGGTTTTATACGGCTATGTAGAATGGTTGGCACGTGCGGAGGAATCTATGTGGCCCAGTTGCAGCAAAGCTTTCGGCGTGAGCTGCAATCAATTTTAATTTGACGGTGCTAATTAGTTTAGTTCTTACATCGTGATGGGTGAAAGGGGTGACGATGCAGACGATTATTACCCGCTGAGTGTTGGATCTCGCAGCGCTGACAGATACTAGGTGCGGAATAAGTGTCCTTTGTCGGTTATGTTTGTTTATTTTGGGGATGAGTAGAAAGTATAATCCAAAAATACTTGGGCCATTTGGAAGATAACGAATTGAAAATAAATTAATGGATTGGACTTAATTGAGAGGTTTGACCGTCAAATTCGCGATTAAACATGTTTGGTAAATAACTTATTTGATAAGTGCGCCGCGTTTTGGGGATAGAGGATTCGCAAAAATCATTTACTTGGAACTTTAATTTGTGTTATTTATTTTACAATCTACATTGTTTTATAGTGCTAATAAATAATAAAATGTCATTCATATGATTAATTTATCTAAAAAAATGTAAAATTCATAACTTCTTCATAAGTGTTAGTAAGTTTAAAAAAAAATAATATATTTACAAATTACTAACTAAAGAATATTAAATATTTTAATATATTATTATTAAAAGAATACGCCCTAAATAATAAAATGTCCTTATTGGTCATTTTACATTATCAAACAGCTATAAGCTTTCGGCTATTTACCAAACACTTATTTAAAAACCGCTAATGCAATCGCTAGTCAAATCAGTTAATATAATCCGCTATCCGCTATTCGTTGATCGCCAAACAAGGCCTTGGTTTGGTTCCAATCATCAATAAAATCTAACATATATTGTTGTCACTGAGAATGTTAAAAAATAATATTGAAAATAAAATGATTAAAATTGATTTGATGCAAACATATGAGAGAGAAGATTTAGTTAAAATTATGTGAGTTGATGAATAGTGAATTAAAGTTGATGTGGTATTTAAGAATGATTGATTGGTATTATTTACTTATTTTGATAATACTGATGATAGTGGAGTTGAGTTAAAATTAAGTTAAAAGAGTTGTTAAGTTAAAAATGTTTGAAATGTTTTGAGATGTTTTGCATCCAACCGTGCTTTTAATATTTTCACCTCAACCAAAAAAGGGAATAAGTTTTACACAACGTCAAATAAAAAGTTGATTTTTTATTCCAAAAAGTGTGAAAACAATTATGCAATAAGCTATGGAGCAGATAGACGAAAAGAAATGATAAAATGCGAAACAATTACGAGGTAGTTATGCGACATAGAGACAAAGATAATTGATAAACTGTGAAGCGGTTATGCGACAAACAGGCGAACATAATTGATAAAGTGTGAAATAGTTATGTGATAAACAGACGAACATATTTTATAAAGTGCAAAAAAAATATGAGATAAACTATGCGACAACATATTTAAAATAACTGATAAAATGTGAAATAGTTATGCGATAGACTAACTCGTTTTAAGCCAGAAACTTTAAAACTAAGTTCCACATGATTATGAGACATTTATATTAACCAATTTAAGCTAAATCACAACCGGAGCAATTTCTAAAAATACCGTAAAATTAGGGTAATGTCTCGAATTATTAACCATATCAAACAATTTTTAAAAATTACGAAATTTAAGCCCCAACAACCCCAACATATATATATTTATATATATATATATATATATAATTTATATTAAAAATTTTACGGCCAGAATCAGCTCCTAACCTAGTTAACAAAAATCGAGCATTTTTTGTCCAATTTCATAAATCCGGTTCGACTAAAAAACTGATATGGGATATTATACCCACAAGGCTGAACCGGTCTATTGACTGGTCGAGGAGGTCGTACTATGAGGAAGTCAAGGAAATCGAGCAGAATATCTAGTCGACCAAGCATAGCTGTCAACTAAATTATCCTTCGACCAGATGAGCGGTCGAGCAGTTTAGTCGGCCTCGATAGGTCGACCACTTCGAGGACTTAACACCACGCGGATCGGCCTAGGCACAGGCGCGTAAAAGAGCCTCTAACTGAATTACAGGAGAATATTTATCCCATGTGAAGGGGGACACGTGTCGAGAAGGCAGTGGTTCATAGCGATAACCACCTCTGACAGCCTAGCCCATATGCAGGAGGACACGCATTCAAAGGGGATTGGTGCAGGCGATAGTGGCGACGGCTACCTCTGACACACGCGTATGGTGTGTATGGATGGGCAGTTAGGGCAGACAGCTCATCAAATCCGGGCAGCCCTAGGTCAGGTATCTCACCCCTATATAAAGGGGTGAGCCTTTCTTCTTCAACACGATCATTCTATTGCTTATTCTTGAGAATTGATTGAACATACACTGACTTAAGCTTTGGAGGCTCTTCACCGGAAAACCCCTCCGGTGTGAGAGTTCTTTGTAGGTGCACGACGTTCAACCGGCGAGAAGGAAGACGATTATTCAAGTTCCAGCCGGTCGGGAAGTTTTGTGTTACCATTTGGCGCCGTCTGTGGGACTATCGTTTGAAAATGTGTGTTTGAAGCTCAGCTATGACGGACGGAATTCCCAAAAACTTGCAGTCGACGTTCGATGATGCTTGGACGACGACCAGGCCGTGGGGACAAGGTCCTCCTCCGGGTTTTTCTGGCCCATCGCAGACGCCGATCACTCCTGCACCTGTGCTCCAAGGTGTGGGAGCGACGACAGCGATTCCCGGAGGAGATCCCGGCTTTCATCGTGCCCAGGAGATGCGCGCAGCAGCTACGGCGGCGATGCCGCCACCGCCTGTTGGTGTTATATACTTAAGCTTTGCTTTAGTGGATATTACACTTGTTATTCC